GACCTCCACCGCGCCCGCGTGACAACCCACCCCTCCGTGGCACAGCATCTGCTCAAGTAAGTGGCTTCCTCTTCCTTGGCATGGGAGCAGAGCTGGGGTTAGTCCCTCCCTGTGACAAGCTTCCCATTCCTCCTGTTCCTGCCGGGGCGTTTCTGCTCCGTTTCCTCTCGTGCTGCGATAAGTGATGAAACCACGTCCCCTCACACCTGGTGAGAGCAGAGGCCTGACCTGCAGTGGGCACACCCCAAGCCATGTTCCCCTATCTCAAGCTCTCATCGAGGGTGGGACCAGCCACCAGACTTCTGCTGTGTCCCTACATGTCCATGGGATCACGAGGGCCAGTGTGTGTCCCATCCTTGTCCCAGCATCAACGTCTGAAAGCAGGATCCCATCTCCAACTTGGATAGTTTCACTGCCAGGACAGGCTTGATGGCCTCTGATCCATTCCTTGTCTGCAGTGGTTTCCCTTTTCTGTGGTAAAGGAAGTGACTAGAAGCAACTAGCTGGGCCATGGAGGGCTGCTGGAGGAGACCAGGTGATGCAGGGACTTGATCCTGCTCATGGTTCTGTCTGGGTTGCCAGTACAAATTCCTTCATGGTACTTGTGAGCATCTCGTGTCTTTTGTTGGTTTGGGCCAAAATTACTGCTTAATCCCTTACTTGAGCAAGACATAAGCAAGTTTTCTTCTCTGACAGTGCTGTCTGATCTGCAGAAGCACCAGTTACACAAACTCTATAGCTTTTTGTTACCTCCTCCCTCAAGGCTGATGGGCGAGGAACCTGGAGAGTGTCTTTTCAGGGGCAGAGTATTTCCAAGGGAGGAAAACCTTCTTCCCAAATCTTCCTTCCTTCTGAAATGGGTGATGAAGCACATCAGAAACCCCCACACATCTCCAGAATTAAGCTGGGGAGGCTGCAAGCAGCATTTTGCACATTCAAAATGTGTGACTCACTCTGTGAGAAGATGGTTTGAAAAAATCACCAGCAGTTTCTGCTGACAGTTTTTATCCAAGAACAGTGCTGGGTGTCCCTTCCCTTAGCACTTATTTTGGGGCTAACACCCCCTCACTGATGGGGAATGGGGGGAACCCCCCAGCAGTGTGAGACCTGGAAGCTGCTGGGAAGCTGGAACAGGAGTCACCTCCTCCCACCCCAGCACAGGCAGCCTGGATCCAGTGGCTGCCTGCAGGGACAGCCTGGTTTGTCACCACAGGCCAAGAATCTTTTCAGGAGCAGAAGTCCCTCTCTGCAGCTTGGGGCTGTTTGCAGGAGGTGGCAGAAGTGCCCGTCCCCTCCTTCCTGAAGGGACAGCAAACCACAGGCCAGCTTTTCTCCAAGGCAACAGCCAGTTCTGCTGCAGTCTCACTGCCATCCAAGAGCATGAATTCTTCTCCCACCTGAAGGATTTCTGCAGGAAATTACTCCTCTGAAGTGACATTCCTGGGACTGAGATTTTTCCTGGCACTGAGAGATGCTGCAGGAGCTTTCCCTGGCCACAGTGAGTAGGCAGAGTCAGGGTTATCTACATGGAGAACTTGGCTTGTGTACAAAGTCTCCTGTGTGCACAGACGTGGACAGTGGTAGGACAGGTATGAAGGAGGTCCTTCCCAGCCAGGCATTACAACAGCAATAGCTTCAGGCAGGAGAGAAAGGCGTTTCAGTCAAGAGAGACTTTACTTGTCAGCAGAGTGAGCAACGTCTGGAGCCCATGGGAGGCGAGGGCAGCTGGAGGCACACGAGCAGAGGAGCAGCACCTGGAGTCCTGAGAAGGAGAGGCTTCAGCTGGGGGCTTGTCCTGAGCTGAAAACCACCTTTGCCCTCACTTCCCTGCCCCTCACTGGGAGGCAATCCAGCAGGATTCCTTGTTTATGTCTGCACAGTCACAGCTCTCTGTGATTTGTACATGATGCACAGTGACGTGTCGTTTCTGAGCTCTCCTGCCGTCTCCAGGCTCTCCTTTCCTGCTCTTCATTGCCCATCCTCTTCCCAGGCTGTGAATTCAGTTGGCAGCTTCCTGGGGTATTAAAATACTGTTTTCTAATTTTGTATTTTTTTAATGCAGCAGCTTTAGATGTAGAAATGATGTGAAATGCCAATTCCTCTGTGGTTCCTTGTGCTGCTCTTTCCTCTCCCACCTGACAGCACTGCTGTCAAGTCTCTGGTAATACTTCAGGCCCTCCTTCTGCCTCTCAACACTGTAAAAAAACAAGAAGCAGCTGCCACATCTCCCTAGGTCTGCACATCTCTCCTGCTGGGGACCATTTGAGTGAGGCACTGACACCCTCAGGCTGCCCTGGCCTTGCAGCCCCTGGGCTGTGCAGCACAGCTGCTGGGGGGGCTCTCAGCACTGCTGCCTGCTCCGGGAGACTCCCTGGGGCCCTCAGCTCTTCGTTTGCATTTTTGGGAGAGCATTTAAATGGCAATCCCATGGTGCAGAGCAATAATGGCTTTCTGGCCTTGCCAGCCTCCCCTGGGCTCCCAGGAGCTGCTGTGCTGGTGGGTACAGCTGCTGCCCTGGCACTGAACCCTGGATGCCTGGAGCTGAAGGCCTGGGTTGTCTACCAGAGCTCTTCAATAGCATCACTGCAGGTGCAAAGGGATCCAAAACCTGGAGGAGCAAAAAGGGGGGAACCCCAGCTCTCAGTTTCTGTCCAGAGCCAGCCTTCCTGCATTTTCCCTTCTCAGGCACTGCTGTGGGTCTGTAGGTGGGTCCCTGGGATCCGTATCCAGCTGTTTTCCCCCAGTGTCATGGGGAGGAGTGAGCAACAAGACACCTGATCATCCCTTTGGCATCATTCCTGTGTTGTTAACTGGCCTCTCCCCAAATCTTTGTCTAGTGGGAGGTGTCCCTGCCCATGCAGAGGGGTTGGAACTAGATGATCTTTAAGGTCCCTTCCAACACAAACCAGCCTGTGATTCTGTGAAATACCTTGTGCAGGGACCTGCCGGGTGTTGCCTCTACAGAAGAGACCACAATTCCCCTGTTGCTGATAGACACTGCTGGCTGTGACCTGTTTGAGCTGGAAGTGGAAGATGAACAGTCCAAAGGGAATCCAGGTACCATCATTCAGAAAGTTTAGTTGGCAGGAATTGACTGTCTGAGGTCCTCAGCCTCCTGTGGGCTTGGGCACTGCACAAGCTGAGCCACATCCCAGAGATGTCCTCCCCAGAGCCGGTGGCAGGGGGGGAGCTTTGCTTATTTGAGACATCATTTCTCTGTAACTCCTCGAGATTAAAGGGCTCACAGCCAGAGCTGGGCAGCCACAGGCCCACGGTGACTGCAGCTTGTGGGTGGCCACGTGCCTGGATCCCTTGCAGAGACATTTCTCCGTGCTGCAGCCTTGGATGGATGGAGGATCCCTGGGGCAGATGCTTTACCCAAGTTGGCAGAGCAAATGATGTCAGGCAGAGCACAGTCCTGGTTTAGAGGGGCTGTAGATGTGGCTCAGAATTGCCTCCCATTCCTCTACCCCTTCCATGAGGTCCTGCAGGGCTCTTCTCTGTGAATTTCCTTAAGACACTTGATTTTCCTGCTGGTTTTCTGACTTAAAAAGGAGGTGTGACTATGGAGGTTGAGTGTAAAGTCTTGGCTTTGGGGAAGGTGAGACTGTTCTTTCAGGGCAGCAGACGGGGAAAATGTACTGCAAAACACAAGCACAGTTTGTACTGGTTTAAATATCTTTTTCCTTTTTGTGTTTGAAAACCCACCAGCATTGAAGTGCCTCTCAGTTTTCCAGGCACCAATCCCCATGACCTTGCTGAACAGGGAGAGGCTCTTGTCCCCATGGGGAGAGCCAAAAAGCCTTGTCTAAAACAGGTTGGGGATTTTGAGCAGGGGATTAAAGCTATGTCTCCCAAAATCTGAAGCAGCAGACTGCAGATTCTTGGGTTTTATACCTGTGCTTTGCAGCAAAAGGGAGGGTGGGGGCAGTCCAGCCAATGCACCAGTGGAACAGTTCATGGGAGTGTTTAGTTTGTCCTCCTGGAGCTCCCTGAAGCAGCTCACCCTGCCGAGGCAGGGGCTCGTGGCTGCCTGCCTGCAGACCCCCGGGGGTCTGAGCACACAGCTCTGAGGATGATGCTGGTTTGTTTGGCTAGGGAGGTTTAGAACTGCAGGGACTTGAGAAAGCAGAATCCAGAGGAAAGATGGAGTCCTTTTCAGTTGCAGCACGGAGGAGAATTGAATTTTTAGTGAGGTCTGTGGTCTCACTTGAGAGGGAGAATAATCCGTTGCCTGGATTATTGTTGATCATTAGCACAGGAAGGCCAGAAAAAGCCAAGTGCAGTTCAGAAAGCTCTTAAGCTTCAGTGAGCTGGTAAGCTGCAAAGGCAAGAAGACAAATGCTGTGCAGCCCAGGGAACACACCCCCCTGCAAGCAGCCAAGCCAGGGTGGGATTCTTACCCTGTGCCACACTGGACTGCAGGCAGGACATGCCTTGGCCTCTGCTCACTGCCCAAGGGGAGGTGAGCAGGTTTCTTCAGCCTCTGCCTGCAGCCTGTCCCCATCAGTCCTGTTTTCTGCCCTAGGGGAGGTGCAGCTGGTGGGTTTGCATGTCCAGGCCTTGGTGGAAGCTGGTGTGAAGGCACAAGACATCGCTGTGGTGGCCCCCTACAACCTGCAGGTGAGAGCACCCACTCCTGAAGCTCCTGCTCTTTCCACCTGCACACAGAGCACGTGCACCCAGGTGAGACCAAACCTGGACACCCAGAATGTCCTCAGAGTCGTGGTGGGAGTCAGCAGAGCCAAATCCTGTAGTTGACATTTGTGGCCAGCTTCTCCACATTGAGGCAGCTTGAGGCCATGGAGAGGAGATGTAAGTTGGGTATTTCCCACTCCCTGCCTCAGGAGTCAGCACTTGGTCTCTGGGAGCTGTGAGTGCTCATGCTGGTGGGCTTGAGGGGGACTTGACCAAAATGGTGCCATTTGGATCCTTTTCACCAGGTGCTTTTCTTCAGAAGAGCTGCTTGTGTTTTCCAGGTGGACATGCTGAGGGAGCACCTCTGCCACAGGTACCCAGAGCTGGAGATCAAATCAGTCGATGGTTTCCAAGGAAGAGAGAAAGAGGCAGTGATCCTGTCCTTTGTGAGGTCCAACAGGAAAGGTGAGAGCTCACTACAGGAGAGAGATTCCCTGGGGAAGGGGAAGGGAATGGGACCTGTGGGGTTGCTCCAAGAGCACTTGTCACCTTGCCAAGTGCTGGGGTTTCATTGCAGTCTCCAGCACTTTGCTCTGAATCACTTTACTGCAAGAACCTCTCTCTTCAGCCTTTTTTTTTTTTTTTAAATGAAGAATATTTGCTGTCACAATTGCTTCTGTGCAGGCAGCAGGTAAAAAGGAAGCCAGAGATGCTTAGTTTGAAGATTTTCTGACTGTTGAGGCCTTAGAAATTATTTAAACCAGGGCCTTAAGAATGGCACATGTCAGGCTAGCACAGCATTTACTGGAGTGCCCAGCACTTCACAGAAAAGGTGAAAGTCTGGAGGGCTCATTCCTTGGCTTTAGAGCCTATTTTGGGTCACTTCCCTGCAGAAAGCAAGCAGGAGCTGGCAGTGCAAGTGATGCACAGAAAATGCTTCCTTGGGAGCAAAATCTAGAGCGGAAAATCAAGTTCTTTCCCATCAGCAGCTGCAGCAAAAGTGAATAGCTGGGAAAAAATCTGCTGCCCTGGAGCCCAGAGGCTGCTTCATTGCAGCCGTCAGGCTGTGCTGAAGGGTTTGGTGGCAGCTGGGGCTGAGGCAGGAGTGGGACCATTCCCTGAGCCATCTCTTTCCTGCAGGGATCTCAGCCCCTTTCGGCCTCAGCCCCTGCTCCCGGGGGCGTGCAGGGAGCGCTGGTGTGGAGAAGGAAATGAAAGGGGAAAGGATGCGTGGAAGGAGGAGGCTTTTCTTTTTTAAGAAAGCCCAGAGCAAGAGAAGCAGTGCTGGGGGGGAAGAGTGGAAGTGGGGGACAGGACTAAGAATAGTTCTCAGTCATGAGTGACTCACCTTTGCTGAGTGGGAGCTGGTGTGTGTTCCCAGGTACGGATCGCAGCCAGGGCTCAGCTGTGGGGCAGGGATCACTGGCTTTCCTGGGGGCCCAGAGCAGCTTCTTGTGGTGTCTGAGCACAGCTCTGACCTGCATGGGGCACAAGAGATGTTGTTAGAGGTGTTGCTAGAAATCCAGACCCTTCTTGCAGCCGCATTCCCCAGCTCAACAGAGGGCAGGGACCTCAACCTGTCCCTCTGCAGCCACTTCTGATCCAGCAGGAAACCCTTTTGGCTAGATCAGAGGACCCAGACATGCCCCTGCAGTCAGGTGGAACCATCTCAGAGTAGTGGAAGTCATTCTCTAAGCTGCAGAGCATGGAGGGGGGATCACCCACACCCTGTTCCTCGAAGGCAGCACAGACCAGGCTGCTCAGCCTGGCTGGGCAAGGCAGGGGCAGAGCCAGGCTGGTCCCCACACCAGCAGGGAGATTGATTTCTTCCCAATTGGCCTTCTCTTTATCCCCAGGAGCTGCAAACTCCAAAGCCTCCCACACTATCCATCTTGTTAGCCAATCCTCACTGAGTCATCCTGGCATTGGCTCGATCTTGCTGCTTCTCTTTGAGAAAACAGCAGGAGCAGCCCTTGAAGAGATGCCTAAATGGCTGTTGTGTTAAACCCCTCCAGAGCAGGGGGCCTGGGGCAGCTCTGTAGGACTGGGAGTGTTTCTGTACCTTGTCTGTCACAAGATGAGCCTCTTCCACCTCCATATTGCATTTGCTCCCAGGTTCCCAGCCTGACCTTGTAGTGTGGGGCACCAGGAAAGTATTTCATGCCATCCATCCTCCTCCCAACCTTGGGAGCAGAGTGGGGAGCCCAAGCTCTGGTCATGGGTGGTGACACAAAGGCAGAAAGATGAAGGTGACAGCATGAGTCAGGGACCAGAGCCCAGGAGACAGTCACATAGAATCACACAATCATTGTGGTTGGAAAAGACCTCTAAGATCACCAAGTCCAGCCATCCACCCAGGAGAGAACAAACAAGCAGAAAACCCAAACAAACTACAACACCCACCATGCCCACTCTGGCACGTCCTGAAGTGCCACATCTACACGTTTGTTTTAACCCCTCCAGGGGTGGTGACTCCACCACCTCCCTGGGCAGCCCGTTCCAGTGCCTGCCCACCCTTTGGGTAAAGAAAGTGGTGAAGCAGTAAGGAAGTTCTTCCTAATATCCAATCTCAACCTCCCCTGGCACAGCTTCAGGCCCCTTCCTCTAGTCCTGCGGTTACTCCCTTGGGAGGAGAGGCCAACACCTGCCTCCCTGCAGGCTCTTCAGGTGGCTGCAGGAAGCTCTGCCCTCAGCCTCCCCTCACAGCTCCTGTTCCTACAGACGCTGCCCCCCCTGACCATCCCACCTGCTCTCTCTCCC